GTACATGACCCTCCAGGATGTGACTTCTGAAGACCTGGCATAGAGGAGGACAGCCTTGTCTGAGGCTCAGCCTTTTACAAACATGACCTGCCAAACATACTTCTCTTCCTGGAGATGAAGTTCCTTTTCCTTGTGCCAGTCTCCCCTTTCTCGCACTCCGATGTTGAAGCGTTTCAGTATATAATGCTCTTGATCCAAATCCAGCAGTGATCTCAGCCAGTGAAGTCACCCTCAAACCATTTAACATCTCCTAGGTGTCAGGTCAGGAGGTGGTGATCACAGTGCAGATATGAGGCTCCATAAAGGAGGAAAACATCCAGCATCTTCAAAAACGTAGGTGGGAAGTACGGTACGCCCACGCAAGGGGAAGAAAGGAGGGAAGGATGAGGAAGACAAAAACATGGTATTGCTGCATATTATAGAGCAGGAAAAAAACAAGGAAATGAGGTACAGAGAGAACCACCAAGCTGGTGGGAAACCTTTGGAAAGGTAGCCTGGGCATAGGTCTTTCCACCAAGAGCAAAAAGTCAAAACTGGCTGCTGCTCCTGGACATGCTGGGACCACTGAGACATGGAGGGCTGGGCTCAGCGGAGCTTGTTTGGGAAGCCCAAAGAGGTAGGATGGGAGGCGAAGATCTACAGAGGCCCTCCAGAGGTTTTTCTGTCAGAGGTGAGCCCCAAAGCCTCTCTCCTGCTCCGAATTTAAGCAACATGCACGTTGCTGGCCCAGTCTTCGACTGGCAAGTTACCTGCCTTGCAGCTTCCCCTGTGGCAGGCTTCTCACTCGCTTTGCCACCACCATCGAGCCATTCTAGCTCGATTATACCTCCCACCGAACACGGGGTTTTCCAGCCCTGCACCGTGCACACCTACCACCCGTGATCCGCAGCCCAGACAGGGGCCATCTGCTGCCTTCCCCCCTCTTCCCTCGGCTCGCCTGGCAGCACAGCTACGCTTGCCACTGCTTGGGCCAGGGTGCAGGGATAGGTATGGGTCATTTTATAAAGCCTGGGAATACGCAAACCGAGCCAAATCTTTTGCCTAGTGTGTCACAGGGAGTGGAGCAAAACTTGGCCGGGGAGGGTAACCTAACCAGCAAGCAATGGAAAAAAAGAGCTTAAATCTGATTCAAGCTTTCCTTGTATCATTAAGACTACTAGCAAGCTGATCTACTAATACTAGCTTCAGAGAGCGGCCTTTATTCTAGCTGGCAGGATCTCATGAAATAAGGCCAGGAAGAAAGTTGTGTTTATCAAAGAGCAACAGTTTCAACGTCTTGAAAAAAGTAGCTAATACTTTACCATCATGCAGCCCTGGGTTTTAAACCGTAAATCTCTGGATTTCACTCAGGGAACAGTGATCTGGATTGGCTGCTCTCTGCTCATATATCTTATTCATTACATCCAGCAGATGGGGAAAAATTATGTGCATTTTTGATGCATTGTTTTGCTCTGAAGCCATGAATCTGTGAGCACAGAAGGAGATGCATGATTTTTTCCAGCTATATTCAGACAGCTAACACGAAAATCTTCCAAGTGCTCCTGTTTTAAACAGTGGGTCCATCTCCTCATATATGAAAGATGTATTAATCTAACATAATTAGGTTTAATCTGGAATGATTACCTATCACCTGTTCCAGAAATTCATACATTTTTTACTGCTCTTTTTCCAAAGCTTCAAGGAGGACAGCAGCAAGCAAGGCAAAGTAATTTTAGGGATTTCCTTTTCTTTTCTTCTGATGTCTGATGCACTGTTGTTAAAAAAAAAAAAAACAATCAAAAGAAAGTTGAAGAGGTTCACACGTGAGGATGCTGCTCCTCAGGCTCTCCCCAGCTCTTCCCGCGTCCTGCCTTTGCGGACAAAGCCCTGTGCAGTGGGAACATGGTCAGATTTCATGAGCCCGGCTCTGCCTTAGCGATACACGTGAGCCCACTCGTTTGCAGGTGGAAACAGATGAGTGCCGGATGCAGTCTTCTGCAGCCCCGCAAATAAGGCTTGCTGTAGGGGTTTCCAGTGATGGACCTGACCATCAGAGTGCACCATCCCAGCATGGGATTCAAAGTAGTCCTTAATATTGTTGTTTACTTGTCCTGTACTTACAGCTGAGGGCATCACGTGGTGAGAACTTCAGGAAAAAGGTACAGAAGCAGCAAAATTCCCTGGAGTGTGTGAGAGGAAAAAACCCCAAAAACCAGTCCAAATGAAACAAACTTCACATGCAAGCTAAACACCAAAAAGAATTGAATGATAAACATTTGTGCGTTTAGAAGATTCAAAATTACAGGCAATATCCTGCAAGCCTTTTAGCATGTTTCCAACTCCTATTGTGAACAGCTTCCCGTAACTGAGGTTGTTTGTGCTGCTGACAGAAGTAAAATTATACGTCAGGGTGTGGGAGATCAGGGTGTTTGGTTTCAGCCAACCGTGCAAGATCATATTCTTTTGCTTGACGTTTGTATTTTCATGCTCTGATTTCTGACATGATTGCCATCACAGGAGATACCCAGGGATGCTTAAAAACTTGTAAATTAATCCGCGTCTCGTAGTCTTCTGTACTGTTTGCAAGCAGATGAGAAATCGTAATGTCTTGTTTCAAGCCCATGGTTTCCCTAAACCTGAAGAAAATTGTCACCACTAAGAGAGGACCCATGTTTTGCCGCAAAGTCTCATTTCAGTTTGGCAGGCAATGTCCTGAGAGAAAGTGTTAAGTTTGAGCCATTTCAAATGAATATCAAAGGAGCTTGAACGTATTAGAGAACGCTACTGACAATGAATCTTTACTAGCTAGCGAATATTGAAAACAAACATTAGAAAATGAGCAGCATTTAGGCATCCAAACATATTGCACTTTCCTCTTAATTACGTTCTTTCTGGGAAGCGTTTCTGTTTCCATACTAATTCCATACCTCCCCTGCGAATTGCGGCACGGTACTCCGCATGCAAGCAAAGGCCCCCGGAGGATGTCTGCTATGCTACAATGGGCACAATTAAGTTGTGCAGTTGTGAACATTTGGCTGTGGGGATTTAGCTATAACTTTATCAGCTCTTGCACAGCGGGCTTCAGCACAGCTCCTGCTCCTTTTACCTCACGTGGTTGGACTCATTCCCCTGACGGAGCTTCTAGCAGAAATCAGCTGACTGGGGTTTGCTGCAAAATTCAAGGATGCTTTGTAATTGCCTTTGTTTAGTTAGCAGAGTCTTGAGAGCACGTTATTTCCCCTATAACTGGAATATACGGGTACAGATGATCTCATCCAAACTACGTGCCGCGGCAGGGAATTTGTAATCCTTCAGATCTGATCAAATTAGAAGTTCAATAACAAAAATGACAGAAGTGAAATGTGTGTCCCGCACGTATTTACTAACATCAATTCATTATTCTTGATCGGTCAGGGAGATGACCCTGTCCTGAAGCACTGCCTTGCTGCGGTGGTGAAGTAACAGCATTAACCCGCTGCTGCAGTTCAAGACTGCAAGATCTTATGGAACCAGCAGAGACTATGGAAAAAAAAATTGGGCCTGGTGCTATTTCTGTCACCTTCCTTTATTTCAGCTTCTTAGTGATATTGTCTGTGCTTGGGCTTTCTTCTAGTACAAATACTTCAGAGGCAGTTTCAGGTTCACCGTGAACTCTTGGATGTCCTGGGGAAGCAAGAGACCTTTTTGACTGTTCCTGTGTGTTTCACCAGGCTGTCAAACCCAACGCATGGGTGTAATACGATGCCAAGCACATACCTCCTTAGGTAAACCGTCTCATCAAATGTGGTCTGTGCCTTAAATCCACTGTAGTAAATAATCTGCTGCTGCTGCTGCACTCATTATAGAGCTGAAGCAGCTTCTTGAGATAGAAAGTTGGACATTCAATTTTACAAAGCAGTATTTTTCTCTTTGCATCCTAATCTGAGAGGTTCAGTTAGTAGGAGAAAAGATAAACAGAGTTTTCCCATTAATGAACATCTAGGAGAAGAGTCATTAAATACAGTGGCTGCCCTACACTCCTTGTCTGCTACCTTGTCTGCTCAGGCAGCGCTTTACCCCTTGCGTTCATGAAACCTGCAGGATGTGACCATTCTGCTACCAAGTTTCAAAATCATTGTAGTCAGCTTGGGAGATCTTAAAAATGCTTATCTGAGATAGATAAATGATTTGTTGAGAAAGATGAATGATTTGTTGAGCACAAGGGTGAGAAAGTCATCATTTAGCCTCTTCGATAGTTTGGCAGATTCTTCTTGCGTGAATGGTCAGAGCGCAAATGTAATTTATTCCAGCTTTTATGGAACCATATTACAATTGTTTTAAATTCCTGGATTCTTTTTCCTTAATTTACTGACAGGCTACTCTTCTGTCATCTCCCAGACAAACTTACCTCAAGGCCTGCACCCAAATTACTGACTGTGGTTCATCCCGGTAAATTAGTGCTTGGGCACAGCATTCTGTGCCTTTCAGCACAGACTTCTGCATTGGGTTGAGATACATCAGCATAAAACTAGCAGAAGTGTCATAATGCAAAGCTCCAGGTTCGAGGGAGGTTTCATGGCTCTTCAGTTTCAGACCCCAAACCTGACCAGCCCCAGGACTTGCAGTTCCCCTTCTTGTCCCACCCTGCAGAAGCACCCTTCCTCTCAGGGACAAAAGGAGAAGGAGCAAAAACAAGGCCCTTACGGAGGTCAGGTCTTCTGGCAGGGTCACTATCTGATCTCCTGTCCTCCAGCTGGCCCTAACACTCCAGCAAGGGGACAGGTTCCCTGCACCAGCATTGAATACCAGTGGTCCAAGGAAAACTCTGCGTGAGCCCAAGTCTGCAGCATACATGCTAACCCACATGCCAGCCAGCTGGCACGGTGAAGGCAAGCGTGCAGAGCTTGGCCCTGAGCAAGGCTGCCTTTCCTAGCACCTCATGGACGCGCTGGCTACGTGCACCAAAGGCATGTGAGGAATGGTGCCATGGAAATAATCACGTCTGAGCTGTTAACATCTATCCAGGCTTGCATGGTACTCACCCCTGCTGTGGGGTGCTCTGAGCCCCCTCCCTCCAGGGATAATCACATGTAAGTCAGGAAAAGCCAGGATCTCAGCATGGTTTCCATTAGACCTCTCCCCTCTTGGTCCCTCAAGTGCTATGGAAGGAAAAAAACTGTAGCAAGTCAGGTGATATGTTACATATTAACTTCGTTATGTTGATTAGTGAGTCCAACAGTTTTGAGTGTTGGGGCAATAGCTCCCTAGAGCTTGTGCACAAGAAATCTGGAAACACAACACTGTTTTCCAATACTTCCTTTTCACTGACAATAAAGGGGAAACTGTAATTAACACTTGTCCTCAAGCACTTGTCTAGACAATTGTTACTGTTACTTCAGCCAGTACTTACCCAGAACAAATTTAGCCTGAAATGGAGAAGTGTGAAGGCAGGAAGCGTTAAAGCTTAAGCATTGAAACACATTAGATGACAAATAAGAGAAATCAGCCTTGAGAGAGCTGAACACGTAAGAGTCTGCAGTAAGAGTTCAAACCCGATGACCAAAGATAGCATTCACCTTTAAAAACAAAAGCCCTCCCCACCCCCAAACAACAAAGTGGTTGGTTTTCTTTGCTTCTTTTAACTTCAATTCCAGTGAAAACGAAACAGTGGGATGCGTTTCTGTTTTCCCACTCGAATGGTAGCAAGACCTCTGCTCGTAGCAGTTGCAAACTTCTCTGGCTGAAGGCTACCTAAAGTGCTCCCTTGCGGGGCTGGAGAAACACTCCCCATTAGCAGCTATAACCTTGGGCAGCGGGAAGATCTGCTGCCTATCTGAATACACTAAATACATGTAAAAATCACAGCCACCGGCCACAGAGTGGCTCTGGAGCAGGGGGCCACGCTTGCCCCTCCAGTTACCCCGGTTCCACGTGTGAGTCGGCTTTGAAGGCCGGGCACAGTGACGGTCCCTGGCCTCTGCAGACGGCTGGAGGGTGCGTGTTTTGTGTTCTGCTATCGTACTTTGTGCACAATATACCGTTACCAAACAAGACAGTACTGAGATTTTTTTCCGACAGCAGTCACTTGCCTGATTAATACACGCAGGATTTTTCTAGCTGAAAACAAAGCAAGTGCGACCTTTTCCGTTTCTCTCTAGTTCAACTGTTTTTCAGCATTCACTTCAAAAATTCAGAAGGGAAGCATTCAAGCACTTACAGTTACGCAAGACGAGTGCAACACAGCTCCCTCTCAGCCTGCAGGACAGCAGAGAGCACCCGTTCTCCGCAGGCAGAGCTGCTTTCAGTATGAGCGCTTTCCTTCTTCTAAGAGCACGGTCAGTGCCAGAAACCACTTTTTCCTCCCTTCGTCGGCTCTTGTGCATGCTAGTACTCTGAGGCCAAGCCAAGTTCCCTCTCCTTGCTGTGCTGCCTCTCAGGCAGGCGCAGCAAACTCTCCAGAGCCAGGTTTACTGCTGAGGGTTTTTGTAGAATTACAGACGACTTCTGGGCATCCTAATCCCCACTCCTGTCATTGCTCTGGGTTTCGCCCACGACCAGTGAACTCCGAGGGAAAGGGTGCTGTGGGACAGAGAAGGGAGAAACCTGCCCCCACGACTAAGCCATTTTAACAGAAGGCAAAAATTAAGGAGGAGACTCAACGAATGGACAAACCCTATCTATTTTTTTAATATAGAAGCACCTCTCACAGCAGTCCTTGAAACACTGGTTAAATTTTCCCTAAATCAGCAAACCAAGTGCAAGGTTACCTTCCATTAGCAGTTGCCTTTAGGGAACACCCTCTCAGCCATCAATACCATCTCCTGTATTAGCGTAATTGGTCCTTTAGGCTTGACAAACAGAGGAAAGGATTACAAAGAATGCAGCAGGTAAATATGACATTTTAGAAGAAAGAGCGTGCAGGGGCAGGAGACCTTCTGCTCCAAGGGCCATCTCTCCCTCCTCCTACGATACACCCGTCACAGCCAGAGTCCCCAGCAGCGTTTGTGCTAGGAGGAAAAGCTAGCAGCAATGGTCATCCATTAAAACTCTCAGATTTAGAGACACAAATTCCCCTTTGGAAAACAAAGCAAAACAACCAGCTGAAGGGAGCTCGCCCCCACAGATCTTTTCTTCGGGGAAACCTGCAGCCTGTGAAAAGCCTCAGTGTCTTCCTTTCCCATGCCTGAGATAGATTCCCCATTACAAAATTGTCTGGCTTTTTTGCAGTTCCTGCTTGGACCTCTGTAGGTTATTCTACTGTTATGGCATCAGGGTTTCTCACAGTGAAAATCATCCTCCTTTACTCTCTTTCAGTAAAATTTAGCAAAAAAATTAGCCAGCTAGAACACGTAAGTGATGGGATCAGCATCCTGATCCTGTAGGACTGCACAACAAATGAAAAGCTTTTCAGTGGTTAATGACTTCTTTTTCATTTTCCCTGCAAATGAGCTAAAGCAGTAAATGGGGAGTACGTAAAGTAGCGATCTTACTTGCAACGATCTTACTTGTAACTTGTAACGATCTTACTCCCTGCAAGCTAAGAGCGGTGTCAGTGACACCCTTTCCCATGTGTACTTGCTCTGGGATTTGGAGCGAGATTTAAATGAGAAGGAGCTGCAAGCAACCACTTCTACTTCTCTAAAACAAGGCTCACTCTAAGCTCTGAATAAGATGTGGAAGTTCATTACAAACAGCTAGAAGAACGGTGAAAATAGGTAATCATAAGAAGTATATACAATTGTTTTGAAGGTAGAAACAGCATACGTTAGGATCTCTGAAGGTTGCTCTTCTCTCTCATGAAAGCACAGCTCGCTGAGAAGCGCTAGGGAATGCACTTGGCAAGTTACTGATGGAAAAAGAGTGGAGATAGCACGAAAGCAACGTTTCTGACTGCATGCAACCTTCTAGAGACAATAAAATAGCTGTTAGTCGCTGATGGGAAGCAGAGCAGACCTGAGGATGGGTGAAAAACGAAGGACCTCCAGGCACTCATGTATCCTTTTGGGGCATGGCAAAAACGTGACCTTGAATTAAGGTCAGGAGTACATGCACAAGAGCTAAATAATCACTATTTTCTAAAGAACGCTTCCTTCTGCACGCGCGGAACACCATGCCATTAGAAACTGGGCTGATCTGGTCCTCTGCTCTATAGGAGAGCACAAGTGGCCAGGGCATCTCGACACACTTCCTTCCCTGCCCTGTTCTCACACTCCTCTTGAGTGGCAGTTTCTAGTGTTCACCGGTCCTCACCATGCAAGTCTTTCACTGTATCTCATATAACCACTTTCCACAAGCTAAGATGACTGTGCTTTGTCCTCCATACCATAAGGGCAAGACAAAGGCCCAGTGTGGCTATTTGTGTGGCTCTTTTGGGGATTAATCTACTGCCCTCAGGCTTTGATGAGAACACTGACCCCAGCTCCTTCCTTTAGCCACGTGGAGGCTTGTGACAGTCCCAGCTCCTGCACTTGAGGACACCGAGCTAGACAGTGAAATATGTTTTCAGGAGGGCAAACTACTAGCCAGGAACTGTGTGGCCATTTCAAGCTCAATGCAGACCTTGCCACAGGTTTTCCGTGACAGCAGTCTAGCTTTTACCCATACATGGTTGTCACAGAAGATGCAACAGGCATGACAACACATAATCATCCTCCTAGATACATAGAGACAACAGTCATTCTTCCCTTAGAGGAGAGGGTTTTTTTGCAAATACTCCCACTAAGAGGAGCCCAAGAGTTGTTTTTGAGACATCCTACACTTGCAAAGGTCCCACTTAAAAGTGCCTTTGCACAACAGTGTAGAGCTTGTCAACCAACGTTATGCAGAAATACTTGGATGTTGTCACATGTACCTCATGCCACAGGCTGTTCCCGTGGGTTCCCAGACCGTCCAAGAGTCACAGCGAACTGCAGCATCGGGTCCAAGTTCCCTTCTCACAGTGACACCCACGCTTAGGCAGGACTGTGTTCTAAGTCCCTGTGGAAATGTTATCTGAGAGTTTAAAACTTTAGAAATGTAAGATGAAAACTGGGGTTGCAATTTTCAGAAGAACCCGAAAGAACCAGTTCCTCAGACTGGTTGACTAAACATTTAAATGTTTCAGAAAAACTCCAGTCTAAATGATAATAACATGCTATAATCCCAGCCATTGCCAATTAAAGTATCTAGCAAACAAGCAGAAAGAGGGGAATCAAACCAGTGCAAACATAATTAATGCTGAAGTATTTTAATATTCATTCATACTGGCAAATGTGTTAAGCAGATTAATAACTCCAAACGACATGGTTCCTTTGATCAGTTATTAGTTTCTACTTTGTACAGTTAAGTGCCCCAATGCATAAAAGCACACCTGCTGTTTTACGGAAAATTAAATAGGAGAAGGATGGGGCAACACTCTGAATCTAGAAACCTCTCACAGTGCTGCACGGCGCATGCACCTGTTACTACATCTTTGGGAAATATCAGCGACAATGAATTATTTTAACATTCTGATATTTTAAATTAATTATAATCTCCTTTTGGCTATCACCAGACCTCTCCTTACTGTTATGAAGCCCTTTATGTTTCTAGAGACTAGTGAAAAATTAAATTTAATTGTAATCTTAAAAACCTTTTAATCTTAAATCGCATGGCCCATCCTCACGAGGACTCAGCCAAGGGGAGAGGTGAGTGCAAGAGGATGTTGTAAACAGCTTCAAGGGTATAAACAGCTTCACAAATGTTGTAACCAACGTCGACTCCTAGCCAGAGCGCGCTCTCCCCGGCACAGCACGAGGCCCCACCACGTTTCCTATTACTCAGCTGGCGCCTTCCGAGACCTCTCCGAGATGAGAAAATTACTGTAGCAGAGGTGGAAGACGTAACCACAGAGGTAAGAAACGTTCCCTCTCTTCACCTTCGCATCCCTGAGCTTCGGCAGAGGTCTGCATTAACACTGGAGCCATCCCTTCCCGAAAGGGGTCAGGACAGCAGGGCCAGGCTCCTGTCGGCCCTGCGCATGTAGGATCCCCGCAGTGGCCGAGATTCCTGCTCCGCTGTGACAGAGCCGGCGACCACCTTCGTTTACCACAGCCCGCTCTAAGTGAATTTTGACCAAATTTACCTAGTGTCTTTCCTA